AACTGGTCTAGTATAATGCTGGAAGGGCAAGCAGGATCGGGCATGGCACAGTATGCCCAGGTAACCACCTCTGCTTTGCCAGCTGCACCGGTTGCCAGCTTTCCTTCCAGGTGCAATTCCAGGCGCTGCTCTCCCCCTAAGCTCTGCTTAGCATCGGGCCAGGTGGAACCGCTTTGTCTCCCTTTAGCATCTGCTCTGTTGATTCGATGTTGCAGGGTCAGGGCCCTCTAGGTGCTTTTGATTAAATAATGCCATGCATTGGGGTTCTGGATGGCTGGTTCTGGATTTCATCGTAGCCCAAGTCCTGCTAAAAAAATAGGATCAGCTGAGTGGGCGCTCCATTACTGGAGGTTTTTAAGAAGAGACTGGACAGCCGCTTGTCTGAAATAATATAGGTTCTCCTGCTTGAGCTGGACTAGAAGACCTCCAAGGTCCCTTCCAGCTCTATTCTATTCTAGTGGCGAACACAGGTAGTCCTTGATTTACAACGATTTCTTTAGCCACCATTCAAAGTCACAACGGCACTGATGAAAAAAGTGACATGACCATTTTTTACTCCTTTAACAACTACAGCGATTTATTTAACAAAAGCGGCAAGAAACATCGTAAAAAACGAGGCAAATCTCACTTAGAAAAGTTCTCATTTAGCAATTTAAATTTTGGGCTTGGTTGTGGTCATATGCCGAGGACAACCTGTATAAAGGATATATGCATTCTCTCGATCTGTGATTGGGGTACATCTATTGGGAAGGCAAGGAGGTGAGGAAGATGTTAGAAATGGGACAAATAAGAACTTGGTAATTTAATGGTTTTGAGATGATTGTCTCATACAACTTGCTAGACTGACGGATGCCTCCCAATCCCTCAAGATCCAGAGGGCTGCCCCAATGTCATTGCTCAAAAGAGACATAAAGTCCTGCTTCTTCACCCAGGCCTTTGGCAAAGGAGACAATCCTTTGCTCTATCACACTTGCCTTCTTATTTCTTATATCTCTCTATATAAAAGCGAAATACCACTCACGAATCATCACAAAAATCTTCAGAACCATAAAGCCTACAAACTTGAAATTTGGTGCGTATGTTCCTCTTGGCTTCTAGGTGCTTACTAAGAAAGGATTTTTCAAAATGACCATCAGAGCATTAGTATTTCCTATATTATTATTATTAACACACTGATGCTAAGGAGTTCTACTCCCCCTCCACACCTGAAAATAAATCTGTTCCAAATGCAAAACACAAGCAGAGGAGAGGAGTTTCAGTTTTAGTTTACAGCACCAAGCGGCTTTAAGTACAGAACAATTGATCTAAGCCATGCCCAGGCTCCTTGCTGTCTCCTTGCTCACACAGCAAATACTGTTTCACTTTCCAAATAGCCTTTAACTCTCACACACTGACAGGATGCTAGCCAGATGAATACCAATGGATGCTGGTAGGCAGGGGCAGAATTTTCCCCCTTATTTTCCTCCCCCAAGCCTAAGCCCGACCACATAGTTTTATAGCAAAGCAAGGTTATTGAGCTAGTTATGTTTTAAGTTGTGTTGATTGTTATTATATTTTTTAATGGTTGTGAGCTGTCCAGAGTTGTTGGAAATCAGGCAGCATACAAGCTTAATGTATTATTAGAGTTCACTGCAAAATCAGATAGATGTTTAGAGTGGATTTGGTATTGGAGCTGCTGATCCAGTTCTACAGAGGAATTATTGAGTCTATCATCTGCACCTCTATAACTGTCTGGTTTGGTTCTGCAACCCAACAAGACAGACACAGACTTCAATGGATAGTTAGAACTGCAGAAAAAAACAATTGCTACCAACCTGCCTTCCACTGAGGACCTGTATACTGCACGCGTCAAAAAGAGGGCTGTGAAAATATTTACAGACCCCTCACATCCCAGACATAAACTGTTTCAACTCCTTCCCTCAAAACGACGCTATAGAGCCCTGCACACCAGAACAACTAGACACAAGGACAGTTTTTTCCCGAAAGCCATCACTCTGCTAAACAAATAATTCCCTCAACCCTGTTCATCTATTTACAAAGTGTACACTACTATTACTGTTAATCTTCTCACCACTCCTTATCACCCATCCCCTCCCACTTGACCGTTTCCTAGTATGATTTGATTGTTGATTGTACCCTATGACTATCATTAAGTGTTGTACGTTATGATTCTTGATTCTTAATGAACGTACCTTTTCTTTGTGTATCTGAGAGTATTTACACCAAGACAAATTCCTTGTGGGTCCAATCACATTTGGCCAATAAAGTATTCCTATTCTATTCTATTCTATTCTATTCTATTCACCTATGGAGTCCTTCCCACCTGGATGTTGATGTTTGATAGTGTTAAAGGTATCGCCATAGGATATAACCTCCCCAAGGCACCTTGACTGATTGGAATTTTGTCAATCTTGATGGTGTTGGGGCTCCAGATGTTTTGGGATTGTACCCAAGGTGCCTAATCACTATTGATATTACCTTTCTTTTGCCAAGGTCATTCTACTTTTATGTGGGGATCTTTGTATTTTGTGATTCAGTTCTTTCTCTTTTATTCTGTGAAATCCATGTACTGACCTGTCCACTGTCACAAACATTTTAGCCTTTCCTATTGACTGTTATGTGGCAGTTGCCTGTCTGTTTGAATTCTTCAGCATTTTAATTTCTTTTTTTTATATGCTTTTAACTGACTGAATCTAAAAGTTGGCCTAGATAACAGCAGTTTTATATTTATTTTATATTTAAATAAATAACAATCCAGAGACCTGATCCTAAAATATCCTGACATTTTGCCTACAGAAGTCCAAACTGATTATAACTTATAGACTAACTGAAAGAATTGGACAGAGGATATCTTGCAAAATTGTTTTAAAGGGTTTTGCAAAATAATAGAGGATCCTTCATCTAGCATTATGGTCTCTGTCTTACGGCACTGATATATATGTCTATTTTCAGGTTGGTGCAATTCTTTGGCATTAGTATTGAATATTTTATATTTAATCATTGTTAAATGCTAACGTTATTTCTTAATTAGCATGTCAAAATCCATTCATAATCAGAATCCTGGAGAAAAAGTATAAGAACATTTGGAAAATAGCTTAAGAAATAACAGAGAATGTTACTGCATGTGGTTTTGCAAAAGGCAACCTATATTGGATAGATGGATGGATGGATGGATAGATAGATGACAAATGTGAGAGAGAGAGAGAGATGATAGATACATAGATAGATACATAACATAGATACATAGATATTGATAGATATTGAT